GGTGCATCATACAAGCGGCTTGTTTTTTCTTCAACAAAACGTAGAATGAGAACGAGTTTTGAAGTGGAAGTGCACTAATTGTAGATTCATTTTATCAAAGATAATCGGGATGGTTTATACATGAGCTATATACTCTCTAGATAGATACACAGACAGATAGACACACACACACATGCGCGCGCCCACAAACTCAGGCACACACACACAAACTCAAGCACACACACATACACACACACACAGAGGGGGGTGGCGAAGATTGGAAAAGACAGAAAAGACAGACAGACAAACAGAAAATGGGCACTAATATTTCCCTAAAATAACCGCAGAAAATCCTCTTGGCGGTGAGTCTGGCAGTCTGCGTCACCGGCCGCCCTTTGGAGGAGGATGCCGAGACTGTGGCCACTGAAATCACGCCAGCGCCTCCTTCAGCCCCTAAGCCAGGTCAAGGCTCTTTCCTCGGCGAGGTCATGGTCATGTCGGAGGATGTGACCGTGAAGAGAACGCCCAAAGGGTAGGTTATGAACAGAGGTCTTTGTGATAGATATAAAAGTTTGGATGACTATGAATATATTAACGAAAGTAGTTATTCCACTGACGTATTTCGATGTTTTTTTTATGGTATTACACTCACTTCTACGGCAGAAATTAAATGAAAAACACGTACTTACAAATAGGTAAATAATAAATCATCTTTCCAATAACTCAAACCTTTTCCGCTCCAAGAATGTCCCAGAATGAGCTGGACTAAACTAAATAGACCTAACCAATATCTTGTGCAGTTAGGACCATCCTATATAGCTCCATAGACACTACCTATCTGCTCACACTAGAATAATGATAGCTAAGTTTTACACACAATCCCCTTGGACTGCTTATTCTGGATCATACTCGGAGTGGCATAGGTTCGAGTCCTTGTCACGGTGGGTTGTTCTTCATCGATATCAATGCGTTACTGCATTAATTCCCAAGTTATTCATTCTCATCCAAGTTATTCATTCTCATCCAAGTTATTCATTCTCATCCAAGTTATTCATTCTCATCCAAGTTATTCATTCTCATCCAAGTTATTCATTCTCATCCAAGTTATTCATTCTCATCCAAGTTATTCATTCTCATCCAAGTTATTCATTCTCATCCAAGTTATTCATTCTCATCCAAGTTATTCATTCTCATCCAAGTTATTCATTCTCATCCAAGTTATTCATTCTCATCCAAGTTATTCATTCTCATCCAAGTTATTCATTCTCATCCAAGTTATTCATTCTCGTTTCTACACTGAGACAACGAATTGAATGTTTATTCACATTCATCCACACGAACTCGGAGAAGGACGAGACGAGATCCGCGACAGACGATAAACACATTTCAAAACCGATGTTCAACTTGAATCCGAGATCCACATAATGAACCTTTTCCACTCATCGATAAAACCGGAAATAATCACAGAGTCGATTCAATTCACTCTCATTAAAGTTATGTTTGTAATGATTATGCTATTAGTCACAACGTTGGTGGATGTCATGCTAGAAAAGCCACATCTGTGACGGGTGCATCATACAAGCGGCTTGTTTTTTCTTCAACAAAACGTAGAATGAGAACGAGTTTTGAAGTGGAAGTGCACTAATTGTAGATTCATTTTATCAAAGATAATCGGGATGGTTTATACATGAGCTATATACTCTCTAGATAGATACACAGACAGATAGACACACACACACATGCGCGCGCCCACAAACTCAGGCACACACACACAAACTCAAGCACACACACATACACACACACACAGAGGGGGGTGGCGAAGATTGGAAAAGACAGAAAAGACAGACAGACAAACAGAAAATGGGCACTAATATTTCCCTAAAATAACCGCAGAAAATCCTCTTGGCGGTGAGTCTGGCAGTCTGCGTCACCGGCCGCCCTTTGGAGGAGGATGCCGAGACTGTGGCCACTGAAATCACGCCAGCGCCTCCTTCAGCCCCTAAGCCAGGTCAAGGCTCTTTCCTCGGCGAGGTCATGGTCATGTCGGAGGATGTGACCGTGAAGAGAACGCCCAAAGGGTAGGTTATGAACAGAGGTCTTTGTGATAGATATAAAAGTTTGGATGACTATGAATATTTTAACGAAAGTAGTTATTCCACTGACGTATTTCGATGTTTTTTTTATGGTATTACACTCACTTCTACGGCAGAAATTAAATGAAAACACGTACTTACAAATAGGTAAATAATAAATCATCTTTCCAATAACTCAAACCTTTTCGCTCCAAGAATGTCCCAGAATGAGCTGGACTAAACTAAATAGACCTAACCAATATCTTGTGCAGTTAGGACCATCCTATATAGCTCCATAGACACTACCTATCTGCTCACACTAGAATAATGATAGCTAAGTTTTACACACAATCCCCTTGGACTGCTTATTCTGGGTCATACTCGGAGTGGCATAGGTTCGAGTCCTTGTCACGGTGGGTTGTTCTTCATCGATATCAATGCGTTACTGCATTAATTCCCAAGTTATTCATTCTCATCCAAGTTATTCATTCTCGTTTCTACACTGAGACAACGAATTGAATGTTTATTCACATTCATCCACACGAACTCGGAGAAGGACGAGACGAGATCCGCGACAGACGATAAACACATTTCAAAACCGATTCCAAACCTCTTACAGGAAGAAGTCTCCAAAGTCTTCCCAAGAAGGTCCTCGGGCATCTGCTCTCGTGGCCTCACCGGAAGCCAGCGGTCCCGAGGCAGTCGTGGGCATCGCAGCGGGCACGGGCAAGGCCTTCGACGTCGGTGTCAGCACGGGATATGTTCTCAACGATAGCTCTCCTGGAATTAGTGTTTCGGGAGCGACTCTAACTTTTAATCGTCCAGCCCAAGTGATTCCAGTTTCTTCTTGAGTGTTCTTGGTTTAGAATGTCAGGTAAACATATCATATCATGTAGCTGAGTCGAGTTGTTTGTATGTTGTTTTATTATGTGTTTTAGGTTAAGCTCGTCCTTAGGTTGAGAAGCATTTTGAGAGGAAGAATCTCGTGTTTTTGGTAGAATAGATTTATTTTCCGGTTATTTAGATCTTGTAATGCAGCCCAGATCTATCTTAGGAATGTTTGTGTTTTCAGTATTAGATTAGTTTTGATATCGACGGGGGAACGAACCAAGGTGTGAACTTGAAAGCTTTATTTAATAAGTAAAATATTGTGCCGAACCTGTTCTATTAATGGTGCAGTAGTATATACACCAATATAACGCTGTGACCAGAAAAAATATATTCTGATATTTCAATATTTATGTGTTTTGAAAAGAATAAACAAAATGCTAACTATCTGATTGGAGACACGATACAAAAAAAAAAACATTTCGTTAATTCAGCTTCATAATAGCTACGTAAACAATGTCCAGATGATTTTGAAAATGTCTATAACAAACAGCCACATGATGATCATGTCACTGTAATATCTCTTATTCTCTACATGTTTATATATGTTCATTCCGGCGCATACATTTTTTTAAAATATAAATCCTTTGTTAGAAGTGATTATTGTTATATTACTAAACTATGTATTATTTAATGTATTGTTTATGACTGTGTCGATTTCCTTTGTATCTCAGAACTTCATTTCATATTTAAGAATAATTCTAAGTAACATAGAGATATTTTTAGCAATGAATACATTGACGTCATGGTAATAAAAAAAAGGCAGCACATTCAGACGAGTTTACATTTTTCCTACTTCCAAGATACTAATTTGCATATCAGCCAGACGAGAATTTACATTTCCTCCTTTCCTAACTTAATATCTGTTTCATAGATAAACTGCATTTATTGTGACAAATATAGAACAAAGGTATGAATGACGAAATACATTCGAAACCAGTTAAATACATTTTTGTATTGTAAAGATATTTATTCTCATCCATACCGATTCATAGACGTATTCTTAATTAAAGATAACTTATAGCATTTTTATCAATCAAAAAACAGTGCACAATGCTGGTGTTTAGAAACTTCTGATTATTTTTATTAGATTGAAGTTGCAATACCGGTTTTTGCACTGATTTTTAGCTACAGTTTTTATTTTCGTTTTTATGTAACACTTTCTCGTTGTTTTATGGTACTTTTCTGTGACTCGTTATCTGTTTTTTTTTATGATCCACATTCTTTAAGAAACGCTTTATTGTTCAACTATTTTATGACACATATTACACATCATTTGCGCCTGTGGAATTCTTATTAAGGGATTTTGCTCTGAACTGGTTTTCATGGCAGACTTTGATTATTTTGGGCACTTTTTATTTTTTTATGGCGGTGTTTATCATTTTTGTCACATTTTCTTTATCCTTTTTTTAGGTAATTCCTTATTATCCGCTGTTCATTCTTTTTGTAACGTTTTCTTTTTTTTAAATCATTTATGTATATATATATATATATACATATATATATATATATATATATATATATATATATATATATATATATATATATATATATATGCACACACACACACACACACACACACACACACACACACACACACACACACACACACACACACACACACACACACACACACACACACACACACACACTCACATATATATATATATATATATATATATATATATATATATATGTATATATATATATATATATATATATATATATATATATTTATATATATATATAACACTCACACACACACACACACATACATATATACATATATATATATATATATATATATATATATATATATATATATATATATATATATATATATATTTATATATATATATATTTATATATATATATATATATATATATATATATATATATATATTTATATATATATATATTTATATATATATATATATATATATATATATATATATATATATATATATATGTCAGGATACATACTTTTATGACTTTTTATTTTACCTTCTACGTCAATTATTGTTCAAGAAGGAAGGAATGACATCGTATCACTAGGAAAAGTCGGTTTAGAAAGGCTTTACTAATAAACCATACAGAAACATGAAGAATATTGAAAAAAAACAACTATACATACAGAAAATACACATTTCCTTTATAAGAATAGAAAACAACTGTTCATTACAAATCAATATAGGACCCACAGCATAAATCTACAATGGATATAAACCCCTTAAATTAATAATATATCAAAGGCATGGTATGGCTAAGACATTTTGAAAACCATTATCGAAAAGTTCAAAACGCTACAATATACCATGGGAGTTTATCTCCATTCATACTTTAATATCTGAGGCTAGTAGGCTAGTAGTATTAGTTTACGAAACGTCAAAATCTGAATAAATGCTGTTATATCCTTCACTGAGTCCTATTGTTCATTGCGTAATCCACAAATACTGTAATTTTTTGTTCTGGTGAAAATACTTGAGAATGAAAAAAACTTAGAAGAAACGATGATAAGGAATTGTGAATAAATAGAGAGGAAAATATAGTATGTTGACTAATGGTAATAACCCAATTATCTATAATGATAGAAGGTTGTAAACGAGACATAATCTACTGTTATTTACCTCTTACTAATTGGTACCAACCACAAACACTTAAATGTAATGTATCTACAATTACCATCTTATGACGTTGATTTGAATAAGACTACAACAATTACATCTTATGTAAAAAAAAACACATATTTTTTCATATATAGCAATGTAGTTATAGTTTAAGATTCTTAAACTATTTTATGTTTCTGTCTGTT